AGGAATTCAAGACCAGCCTGGCCAACATGGTGTAACCCCATCTCTACTAAAAATACAAAAATTAGCAGTGTGTGGTGGCGCACGCCTGTCGTCCCAGCTACTCGGGAGGCTGAGGCAGGAGAACCGCTTGAACCCAGGAGGTAGACACTGCAGTGAGCCAAGATGGCACCACTGCACTCCAGCCTGGGTGACAGAGGGAAACTCCATCTCAAAAATAAAATAATAAAATTAAAAAAAAAAAAACAAAATAAAAATAAAAGCTCACCATGATCTGGCTGAGTTGAGAGTGGGAATTATTTTCTTTTCTGTCTCTAACATGCAGGGAAAATAAAGATCCTAAACCAGTATCTCCTTCACATGCAGCCAAAAGCCCCCTACCCCTCCAAGAGTTCACAGACCTCTGTTCCCAGAACAACTTCCAATGTATCTGCCCACAACCACTGCTAGCCACAAATTCACCCACACTGCTTAGCATCTGCATACCTTCTCCATTAACCTAATTCTATGGAACGATATTTTCTGATACGTTATTTCTGTATTCCTCCCCTTCCTTTAGTTTCACAAATACAGGATCCCACATAAATAATACAAAATCATTCATTCTATCAATTAATAATCATTGTTGACTACACTGAATAGTGCTTGAGGAAAGATTATGTTAACAGAAAGGGTTCATTTTCATGGAGCCTGAGAAAAACAAACAGGAATTGAGGAGCAAGTGTTTGCTAGTATGTCCCAGCCCTGGCCAGAAAGCGGGGAGCAATGGCCAGAGGACAGAAACATCTGTCACTCTGCAGTTTCATTTCTCATGGTCAGTTAATGTCCTAAGTTTATTCATGAGTCTCTTCCAAGTTTGGTTAGTGAGTCAGTCTCCCTGGACCTAATCAGCTCTCAGTACCCTATAAAACGAAATTTCTGGTCTATGAAGCAGAGAACCGGATCCTGAAGCAATGCTGTCCCCCAAATAAAGCTGCCCCATGATAACATCTATCTCCACTCTCTAAATGCAACACCTATCATGGGATGTGTCTGATGTACCTAACACTCTCTGGTAGCTCCCCATGGCTTACGGAATAAAATCCAAACTCCTCAAACTGCCTTTCACAGCCCCAACTTAGCTTTCCAGCCTCATCCCCAAACAATGGGGGATACCATGGCTCTGTGCTTTCATACCTGTATCTAGAATGTTCTTTGCTCAATCTTATTTGCCTGTAAAACTTCTATTCTTCCTCCAAAGTCCAGTTCAAAAGTCACCTGCTCCCTGAAGCCTTTCCTATTTACCCAGGCATTTCATTCACATTGTTTCAAACAGCTCTTTAACCACAACTGTGCCAGAGAACTTAAGTACACTGTAACTTATCCTTTAAAATATCTGAGCTCCACTGGATACTTGGAGCTCCTGGAAGAAACTCACTATGTATCCCACAAGTCCTTATACAGTATCAAGCATGAAATGGGAGCTTGATGTTGAATGATTGATCACATGGAACATGGCAGTAAGTTATTAACAGATGAGAGGGGAAAAACACAAAATTCAAGAAATAAATTATATATTTAATCTCATTCAAAATAACCACAATACGACTGAGACACAACGTGGATATTTCAAGCATTTAAATAATAAAACCAGTAGCCCATCTGGTGGCTCACACCTGCAATCCCAGCACTTTGGGAGGTGGAGGCAGGAAGATCACTTGAGGCCAGGAGTTCAAGGCCAGCCTGGGCAGCATAGTAAGGCACTGTCTTTAGGGGTGTGTGTGTGTGTTTGAAATGAAGTCTCGCTCTGTCACCCAGGCTGGAGTGCAGTGGCTCAATCTCGGTTCACTGCAACCTTCGCCTCGCAGGTTCAAGCAATTCGCCTGCCTCGCCTCCTGAGTCGCTGGGACTACAAGCGCATGCCACCATGCCCACCTAATTTTTGTATTTTTAGCAGAGATGGGGTTTCACCACGTTGGCCAGGCTGGTCTCGAACTCCTGACCTCTGGTGATCCACCTGCCTTAGCCTCCCAAAGTCCAAAGGGATTGTGAGCCACCACACCCAGCTTGTCTCTAGTTTTTTTAAAAAAGTGCAATAAAAAAATGTAAAACAATAATAATAATAAAAGCAACTAACATTTGAACCCAGTGCTAAACTGTTTACATGACTTAATCTGTACAACAACTGTATCAGGTAGGGACTTTTATCTACATTTAAGATGAGGAAACTGTGGCACAAGAGAGGCTAAATAACTCAAGATCATTTGGTTAGCGAGTGACAGAAGCAAAATGCAAACTTCAGTGGTCTGGCTCCAGAGCCAGCAGGCTCTGAATTCAGGCAGGTGTGCTTTGAATCCAGGCTATGTTACAAATGTGGCTTTGAATAAGTCATCTACCCGCTCTGCGTTTATTTCTTTATAAAATTGTTATAACCTCTCTCTCTTAGGTTATATAAGTTAAATATAAAAATGTATGCAGAAGTCTTTAAAATTGGTTCTCCCACCTGGCAGGTACTCCATAAATGCTAATTCATTTTTCCCTTCCCTTCCTAAAAGCTGGATGAAGCAGACACACAGAGGCAAAGGATCTCCCTCAGACTGCTTGAGGCTTTTCCAAACAGATCAGGTAGTTAAGCCACTCAACCCAGAAAGCCTAGCCTAACCTGCTTATCTCAAAAGTCCATTCCCTGGGCAGGGAGCTAGGGGCCTTTTAAAATGTAAATGTCATGTCATTCCCTTAAACCCTTCAAAGGTTCCTAATTACACTGGAGATACAAACCAAACTAAGGAGGCAGGCATTCTGCCCCAAGGCCCCATTGCTCTAACTTGGCCCTAGTCTCCAAACTAATCTCCCCTCTCCCTTTCCCCCTACTGCCCCGGAGGCCTCTTTCACTTCCTCCTTGCTACAGTCTGCTCCACACATGGTTAACTCTTAACCCTCCTTCAGTCCTTAGCCTAAACGTCACTTTCTCAGGGAAGCCTTCCCTGAGCCCCCAGCTCAAATTTTCTTACCCCTCTCTTCACCTTTCTTTCCTAATGCTCACTATACTTTGAATTACTAGTTTACCACTTCCTTCAAAGTTTTACTCAAAAGACAACTTCTTAGGAAGCCTTCCCAGGACACCCTAATAATATAAATTCAACTACCACCTGATACCTCAGATTCTCCCTCCCTGCTTCCTTTTTCTGCTTAGCATTTCACACTTTTTAACACACTATATTTTTGTTATCTATTTTATTTACTGTCTTCTCCCCCACTCCCATGAAAGCACCACAAGGGCAGTCATTTTTGTTTGCTTTGTTCACTGCAGCTGGAACAATGCCTAACACATATCTGTTGATAAATATTTGTTGTTGAATAAATTTTCACGACTATTTATTTATGTATTTATTTTGAGATGGAGTCTCACTCTGTAGTCCAAGCTAGAGTGTGGTGGCGTCATCTCAGGTCACTGCATCCTCCACCTCCCGGGTTCAAGCTATTCTCGTGTCTCAGCCTCCCAAGTAGCTGGGATTACAGGCATGCGCCACCACGCCCGGATAATTTTGTATTTTGTTTTTAGTAGAGACGGGGTTGGTCAATCTGGTCTCTAACTCCTGACCTCAGGTGATTAACCCGCCTTGGACTCCCAAAGTTCTGGGATTGCAGGTGCGAGCCACCACGCCCGGCCAAGACTATTTATTATTAGACTTTCCCAATAGGCTAAGAACTAACATGGTGTCTTTCTGGCTTACCACCATACTCCCAACACCTAGCTCAGTATCCGGCACATAGTAAGTGCTCAGTAAAAATTTAATTAATGAATCAAAGCCACAAGCCACAACTAGTTGAAAAATTGGAAAATGATCAAAATGGATGCACTAGCACCACACTTCTGCCTCTTTCACCGTGTAATATAACAGTGAGGTTGAGGAAACAAGCCACTGAAATCCCACCAAGCATCCACTAGGCCAGGAATCTGTCTGCCCACATCCTCCACACTCTGCCATACTGTGCACCACACTGCACCCGGGACAGAAGCACCCTACAGGCCCTCCATAAACACAGGGCTGAGCTCAAGTGGGCAAACCGTAAGTCAAATACCATCTTACCCCCCAAGTCCCACTATTCTACTGCCAGTCCTATTCTAGAGTAGTCCTGGATGCCAAACACGCTTCCCTGGGTGGGCTTGTGGACTTATTCCAATCCAGGACCTTTAATGCCACCTTTCAATGCCACCTTTGGCCTACTCAAAAAATGGTTTAAAAGCCCTAAACAGCTTCAATAATCCTGCGGTTCTCGGGATCAGGCATACCTAAGGGCATACGGACCCCTCCCCCTCACAAACGCCGATCCAAGACCAGGAGGCCATCTGTCCAGCAGACGCTCCCTGTCCTCCCTCAGGTCACACTGAGCCTCCCGCCAACCCCCTCGTTGGCAGGAAGAGCCCCTACAGACAGACAATTTTCACCCCGATCAACAGGCCTGGTCACCCCAGAGGACCCCCAACTCTAGAGCAGAAATACCTCTCTGCTCCGGGAGAAACCTTTCCCAGGGTCACAACTTGGGCGCAGGGGAGGGGAGGACTGAGCGGCGCCAAAGAGCGTCGTTCCCCGAAGTGTCTGCGCCGGGACGGCGACAGCTCTCCGGCCGGCGGGGACGGTCGGGCTGACAGGCCGTCCCAGTGGGAGAAAGTGGCACCGTTATCCCTGCCCGGGCGGTGGGCCGCGGGCCGTCGCCGAGGGCGGCCGCGCGTCCCGCCCAGCGCGGAGAGGACAGCAGCGTGCCCGGCCTGCCGAGGAGCGGCAGCCGCAGCGGCGGAAGGGGCCGGCGCCCGACGGCCGGGGGCGGGCTGGGGTGGCGGCCCGGGCCCGCCAGGCGGCGGTCGGGGGAAGTGGCTGCCGCCTCTGGCGGCGGGCAGGGTCCGCCGGGCTGCAGGGCCGGGCCGCGGCTCGGGCTCGGTCCCGGCTCCGCTCCTCCCGGGCCAGGGTGGGGCTGTCCCGACCCGCACGCCCCGCCCGGCCCGGCCCGCGGGGGGCGCTTACCTGGCGGCGGCGGCGGCGACTGCAGGCCCGGGTCTCGGCCGCGCGCGTCCCCAGCGCCGGCTGCGGGAGCCACAACATGGCGACGGCCGTGGCGGGCGGGGCTGCGGCTCCGGGGGCGGAGCGGGGGCGGGAGCCGGCCTGGCGGCGGGACCTGGCTGGGGCTGCCGGGGGAGAGTGGGGGGGCGGGCGGAAGGCGACTTGGACCTGGGCACCGGCCCAGGGCGGTGCGGTGGAGGGGCTGCCCCGGCCTGGGCCCGGCCTCCCGCCTCCCGCCCCCCGCCCGAGGCGGGCTGCGCGGCGCAGGCCCGGCGACGGCGGCGGCTGCGACCGCGGCGGCGGCGGCGGCGGCGGCGGCGGCGGCGGCGGGTAGGGCGGGGCGGCGCGGGGCGGGGCGGGGACGGCGCGGCGCAGGGCTGGACCCCAGACCCCGGCCGGCCCCCGCCCCGCTCCAGCCCCCGCCATCCGCGCCAGCACCCTGCGTGGTCGGGCAGACGGCGGCTCCCTGCGACCTGGGCCTCCTGTCCTCTGCCGCGCCTCAGGGCCGGGGCCGCCCGCTAGAGGGACAGGCTCTGCCTACGCAGCTGTCTCGCGCGGCGAAGAGCGCCCGGGGCCCGGGGCTGCGTCCTCTTCCCTGAAACCTGGCGCGTAGCGGGGCCTAGTCAGGCTGTTGAGTGAAAGCAAGCAGGGGTGGCGCGGGCCTGGCGCTCAGGTGCGCCCTAAATGTCTGATCATTGCTGGCTACGAGGACGTTCGCGCAGGCTTGGAGGTGCGGGGCACGCTGACATGTTGCCTCTGGGGTAACCCAGGGACGCGCGGCACACAGAGTTGGAGGACTAGCGACGGGTGCCGCAAGAGGTAGACCGGGAGATCTCTCAGGGTTCCTGGGGAAGCGATGACTGTGCAGGGTGAGAACTCAGCGTCTGGCAGAAGGCCAGGAGGGTGACCGGCAGGACCTTCCAAGAACCTGGCGTACCTGGCAACTGGGTTCGCAGCATTAAGGCGGCAGCAAGGTCAGGGTGTGGGAACTTGGAGATGAGGCCCTGGTGACTGGCAGGGGGCACACACTGCTAACCGTGGAGAAATTCCTTCTCCAGGAAAGATATGCCAATTTGCAAGAGGGCTGGAACTAACATGCAGACGGGGCCTGCTGTGCACCAGGCAGGGAACTGAGTTGAAAGCTTGGGTAAGGAGTGTGTTAGCGATGAAGCAATTAAATCAATAAAGAGTGGTTATCCCGAAAGCTTCGCAGTGGGAAGCAGAGAAAAGTAGGCCTGGAGCTCACGACAGTACCAAGAGTAAAGGAAAAGCTGGGTCCTATTGTAGAAACTGAAATAATAGCATCCCTTAATCCCAGGAGTTTGATTTCAGCCTGGGCAACATAGCGAGACCCTCCCTCTCTGCAAAAGAGTAAAGGGAAAAGTTTATTTTTTTTCTTTAGTAAAGATATTTTGTTTTGTTTTGTTTTGTTTTTTTCTTGAGACGTAGTTTCGCTCTTGTAGCCCAGGCTGGAGTGCAATGGCACGGTCTTGGCTTACTGCAACCTCTGCCTCCAGGGTTCAAGCGATTCTCCGGTCTCAGCTTCCCAAGTAGCTGGAATTATAGGTGCCCGTCACCATGCCCAGCTATTTTTTGTATTTTTAGTAGAGACGGGATTTCACCATGCTGGCCAGGCTGATCTCGAACTTCTGACCTCAAGTGATCCGCCCGCTTCACCCTCCCAAAGTGCCAGGATTTCAGGCACCTGTGTCATGCCGAAAAGTTGATTCTGAGACAGTCTCACTCTGTTACCCAGGCTGGAGTGCTGGCATGATCTCGGCTCACAGCAACCTCCTCCTCCTCCCGGGTTCAAGCGATTCTCCTCCCCCAGCCTCCCGAGTAGCTGGGATTACAGGCGCCGGCCACCAAACTGGCTAATTTTTTATTTTTTATTTTTATTTTTATTTTTTTGAGACGGAGTTTCGCTCCTGTTACCAGGATTGGAGTGCAATGGCACAGTCTTGGCACACTGCAACCTCCGCCTCCCAGGTTCAAGCCATTCTCCTGCCTCAGTCTCCAGAGTAGCTGGAATTACAGGCATGCTCCACCACGCCCAGCTAGTTTTGTATTTTCCATAGAGATGGGGTTTCTCTGTATTGGTCAGGCTGGTTTCGAACTCCTGAAGTTAGGTAATGCACCAGCCTTGGGATTACAGGCATGAGCCACCAAGGCTGGCCTGTGATTTTTCTTTTCCTTTTTATTCTTTTTAAGCCTTCTTTTTTCTTCTTCTTCTTTGTTTTTTTTCCCCCAGCAAATATATTCTATCATATTTTTTTTCTTTTTCCTGACTTGAGGGGCAGACCTCAAAGGAGCTGAGAAGAGAGAATGGCAGATTAAGATGTAGGATAATTGACTGTGCAAGATACCAAAAAACAAAAAGGAGATGGGAAGCAGGGAAGAGAGGAAGGGGAAAAAGTCAGAGAAGTGCACCTCTTCCTACAAGATTTAAAGAGTGCATAGAGATAGAAATATTTTGATGTAGGGAGGCATGCATGCTTCCATAGACCAGCTGCCTGAATTACCCTCTGCAGTCATCTTTAGGCCAGCTGGGGTCACTGTCCTTTAAAATTTAAGTGCAATTGACTCCAAACCCACGTACCACTTAAGCAACCCAGCACACCTGCCAATATCTCCAGAGTTTCATTGGGAACTTATATTTCTCCTAATTATCTCAGGCCCTAATTTCTTGTTTTCAAAAAATATTGTGCTCTTTGGAAGCTTTGTCACCATATTCCATTTGTATTACCTCTGAATATTGCACCTACCTATAAGCAAGAAAAATGCCCAAAATTATAGTATTATATTGTTATATGATTGTTAAATAAACTGGAGTTTGTGGCCATTAAAAGTCATGGAAAAGAAAAAGATGTAATGATGTGGGAAATCTTTATAATTAAAAGCACATTATAAGGTGATCTAGCAGATGGTAATATATAAATATGTATAATGCAGAGATTTTAAAATGAAACTTTTCTTCTGTGACATGTGTATTTTCTTATTTTTATAGTGCATTTATATCTCTCCTGGAAGCAGGAAAATGGTATATTTAAGTAGCTTTTTAAAGTTTTGTTTGTTTTTGAGATGGAGTCTCACTCTGTCACCCAAGTTGGAGTGCAGTGGCACAGTCTCAGCTCACTGCAACCTCTGCCTCCTGGATCAAGCAATTCTCCTGCCTCAGCCTCCTAAGTAGCTAGGATTACAGGCACATGCCACCATGCCCAGCTAATTTTTATATTTTTCATAGAGATGGGGTTTCACCCTGTTGGCCAGGCTAGTCTCGAACTTCTGACCCCAAGTGATCCAGCTGCCTTGGCCTTTGGAAGTGCTGGGACTAGAGCCATGAGCCATCATGCCCAGCCTAACTTTTTAAAGTATTTTTAAGAAAGGTATTTTTAAAAATATATTTATGGGGTTCAAAAGAAAAAGATATTAGGGCTCTGCATGGTGGCTCATGCCTGTAATTCCAGCTGCTTGGGAGGCCGAGGCTGGCAGATCATCTAAGGTCAGGAGTTCGAGACCAGCCCAGTCAACGTGGTGAAACCCCATCTCTAAAAAAAGTACAAAAAGTTAGATGGGTGTGGTGATGAGCCTGACGTCCCAGTTACTTGGGTGGCTGAAGCATGAGAATCAGTTGAACCCAAGAGGTGGAGGTTACAGTGAGCTGAGATTGCACCACTGCGCTCCAGCCTGGGCAACAGAGTGAGACTCTGTCTCAAAATAAAAAGGAAATGATGCCGGGCGCGGTGGCTCAAGCCTGTAATCCCAGCACTTTGGGAGGCCGAGGTGGGTGGATCACGAGGTCGAGAGATCGAGACCATCCTGGTCAACGTGGTGAAACCCCGTCTCTACTAAAAGTGCAAAAAATTAGCTGGGCATGGTGGCACGTGCCTGTAATCCCAGCTACTCAGGAGGCTGAGGCTGGAGAATTGCTTGAACCCAGGAGGCGGAGGTTGCGGTGAGCCGAGATTGCACCATTGCACTCCAGCCTGGGTAACAAGGGCGAAACTCCGTCTCAAAAAAAAAAAAAGAAAAGAAATATATTTTACATCTCAACTCAGAACATATACATGCCTACCCACACACACACACACAGAGACACACACACAGACACACAGACACACACACACACCCCCCTGTAAGACAAAAGTTTCATAAGATACTACCCTTATTTTACGAAATGCATTCTGGTATTTTCAGCTGATTAATCTTACTCTTTTTAAATGCTGATCAGGACCTACTACATTGATTCCATAACCCACTGCTGAGTCACAAAGGACATTAAAAAGAGGCTCAACTATAGCCAAATAGCCTGCACCCTTAAGCTTGCCATGTTTACATCTCCCAGAAATCAACAGGACAGACAAGACTCTCCCAAGATACTGGGGAGGGGTGGGATGTAAGGATTGGCAGGAGCCATGTTTCGGTTTCTCTTTCCTTCTAAGTATATATTTCCTAATATCAACATTTCTCAGGGGCTATAAATATTTTCTTCTTTGTCCAGCTCAAATACAGACTGAACTTCAAACAAGACAGACCAGAGACAATTTTTTATTTGAATAATCAGAATCCTGGACTGAAAAGGAAAAATAATATGTCTTGATTGTTACTGTTATCTTAGTTGTGATAATACATTGAAGCCACCTTATCTAATACTGTTGGACTATTTTAAGGGCAATAAGTATAATCTCTTCCTTATAAGTTTGGAAGCAATGGAAAGATGAAAATATCAACCTTATTACCAATAAAGCTGAACTGAAGAATGTGGCTTGGATGGTGGCCAATAAGCTTTTTAATATATTTTTCCCTGAATTAAAATTATTTCCAGCCAGGCATGATTGTTCACACCTGTAATTCCAGCACTTAGGGAGGCAGACGTAGGAGGATTGCTTGAGCCAAGAGTTCAAGACCAACCTGAGCAGCATAGCAAGACGCTGTTCTCCATAAAAAGGAAATAACATATATATATATACATACATATGTATATATATATATTTCTCCCCTTTGCAGAGGCCTAACAATATTAACCATGTCTAATTAGAGAAGTTTGCACTCTCTCTTAGGTCAGGCAGATCTGAATTCAACAATTAGGTAAGTCTCTCCTGGAAGAATCAGAACAAATTCACTCCTACCTGTCCTTCTGTGGAAACAAAAGGATTTAGGGATAAGGATTTACATCCCCTCCCCAACCTCTGATGCCCAAACAAATTAGACCTGGCCCAATAGTTCCTCTTTTAATTGGAAAAGTATAGTTCAGTAGTGAATAACAACAAATGGTAAATATATACCCTAACATTTCATTTTAACTTCAAAATTATAAAGAACACCCACTTGCCTTCCCAATCTTTAGACCTAGGACCAAACCTTTTTTGATTATTGTTCTTGAGCTGTCTTTCTTGCATAAATCATAGCCACACTGCATTAATGCTTTCCTTTTTTGTTGTTGTTCTCATTTTTTAAAGACAGTCACCTAGGCTAGAGTGCTAGAGTGCTGGAGTACAGTGGTGTGATAATGACTCACTGCAGCCTCAACCCCCTGGGTGCAAGTGATGCTCCCACCTCAGCCTCCCAAGTAGCTGGGACTGCAGACAGGCACCACCACACCTGGCTAATTACAAAAACTACATATGTTTGTAGAGACAAGGTCTCCTTATGTTGCTTAGGCTGCTCTCAAACTCTTGGCCTCCAAGCAATGCACTCACCCCCTCCCAAAATGCTGGGATGATAGGTGTGAGCTACCACACCTGGCTTCCAAGTTGACTATGTACTTAAAACTTCTTAAAAAGCAATGTAAGTGAAGGACCCTTCTTTAAAAAAAAAAAAAAAAAAAACGTTCATAGTTCTTTTGCTCACATCTGTTTTAATAGTAATTTCAACTGGTCTTTTGCTAATATTTTCAAAACATACAACTGGCATATCATAGAGACAGCTCCTTTTCATGCTTATGTTTTATCTGTTTATGTAATTTTAATAAACTGATGAACTTAAGAAAGTTTAATAAACCGATGGATAATAATTAAACTCTTCCATATAGCTGCCATAAACAGGTTTAGGACCAAACACAACAGACTCTTCTTAGGCATGTGGCTCAGTTGGCAGGAAAGAATATGTAGCTATTCCAGAAAGTAAGCCACTAGTCCAAAGCATTTATCTGTTCTTGGACATTTGCAATATATTTGTTACAAGGGAATGGAAAGTGTTGATTCCAGAGAGTCTATTAGAAGAACAGTTAGGCCAGGCACGGTGGCTCACGCCTGTAATCCCAGCACTTTGGGAGGCCGAGGTGGGAGGTCAAGGGATCAAGACCATCCTGGCCAACATGGTGAAACCTTGTCTCTACTAAAAATACAAAAATTAGCTTGGCGTAGTGGTATGTGCCTGTAGTTCCCGGCTACTTGGGAGGCTGAGGCAGGGGAATTGCTTGAACTAGGGAGATGGAGTTTGCAGTAAGCAGAAATTGCACCACTGAACTCCAGACTGGCAACAGAGTTAGACGCCATCTCAAAAAAAAAAAAAAAAAAAAAAAAGGAAGAATTCCAGGTCGGTAGCCTATGCCTGTAATCCCAGCACTTTGGGAGAGGATCACGAGGTCAGGACTTGGAGACCAGCCTGACCAACATGGTGAAACCCCATCTTTACTAAAAATATAAAAATCAGCCAGATGTGGTGGCTTATCTGTAATCCCAGCTACTTGGGAGGCTTAGGCAGGAGAATCACTTGATCCTGTGAGGCAGAGATTGCAGTGAGCTAAGATTATGCCACTGCACTCCAGTTTAGGCAAAAGAGTGAGACTCTATCTCAAAAAAAAAAAAAAAAAAAAAAAAAATCCCGGGCGAGGTGGCTCAAGCCTGTAATCCCAGCACTTTGGGAGGCTGAGGCGGGTGGATCACGAGGTCAAGAGATCAAGACCATCCTGGTCAATAAGGTGAAACCCCGTCTCTACTAAAAAATACAAAAAATTAGCTGGGCATGGTGGTGCGTGCCTGTGATCCCAGCTCCTCAGGAGGCTGAGGCAGGAGAATTGCCTGAACCCAGGAGGCGGAGGTTGCGATGAGCCGAGATCGCGCCATTGCACTCCAGCCTGGGTAACAAGAGCGAAACTCCGTCTCAAAAAAAAAAAAAAAAAAAAGAGAGAGAAAGATAGAACGGCCACTATGCGCCCATGCGCCACAATATTTACCATAGTACTTATTGAATGATAGTGAAAATTTAGAGACATTTTGAATGGTTAAGTGACTGGTGATGTGAAATTTTGTATAACTTATTGACACAAGGAAACATTTGATTACATATGAAATGAAAAAAGATACAATTTGCTGGCGCATGCCAAAAACCACTAAATTGTATGCTTTAAAGGGGTGAATTTTGTGTATCATCTCAATTTTCTTAAAAAAGATACTATTGTAGGTAGCGGTCAACTTCCCTACCCCACCCCAGTCCTGGTCCCCGTCCAGCCGCTGACGTGAAGATGAGCAGCTCAGAGGAGGTGTCCTGGATTTCCTGGTTCTGTGGGCTCTGTGGACAATGAATTCTGTGAAGTGGATGAAAACTACATCCAGGACAAATTTAATCTTACTGGACTCAATGAGTAGGTCCCTCACTAGTGACAAGCTCTAGATATGATCTTGGACCTGGAGCCTGATGAAGAACTGCAAGACAACCCCAACCAGAGTGACTTGATTGAGCAGGGAGCTGAGATGCTTTATGGATTGATCCACAGCCGATACATCCTTACCAACCGTGGCATTCGCCCAGATGTTGGAAAAGTATCAGCAGGGAGACTTTGGCTACTGTCCCCGTGTGTACTGTGAGAACCAGCCAATGCTTCCCGCTGGCCTTTCAGGGCTCCCAGGTGAAGCCATGGTGAAGCTCTACTGCCCCAAGAGCGTACACACCCGAGTCACCGCGGTACCATCACACGGATGGCACCTGTTTCGGCACTGCTTTCCCTCACATGCTCTTCATGGTGCATCCCGAGTACCGGCCCAAACGACCTGCCAACCAGTTTGTGCCCATGCTCTACGGTTTCGAGATCCATCTGATGGCCTACCAGCTGTAGCTACAAGCCGCCAGCAACTTCAAGAGCCCACTCAAGACAATTCGCTGATTCCCCACCCGACCTGTCTTGCAGTCTTTGACACTTCCTTTCCTTTTTGCCACCTTTTCAGGAACCCTGTATGGTTTTTAGTTTAAATTAAAGGAGTCATTATTGTGGTGGGAATATGAAATAAAGTGGAAGAAAAGGCCAAAAAGAAAAAAGACACTATGGTATATTTTTGCTTTTGTATCAGCTAAGATCAAGCAGGAAGCAGATGAACCTCTCAGTGTATCCCAGGAGAATTAATAAAGGGACAATGTGCAGAGATGTAAGCAGGGTTGAGGGAAACCAAAAAGGGACAATAAAGCACCCCAGGTTTAGCATCTGCTGGAAAGCCATTGTCAACCATTGGCCTGAAGGGGCAAAGAGATGGAACAGTTACCAGTCCTTGTGTACCCAACAGGAGCTTGGAGGAAAGAAGAGCCCTCCCTCTCTTCTTTCTCTCAGTACCTCCCACTGGCTGAGCCCTACAAGGGAAACCTACAAGCAAGAAACCCAGATGACACTGCCTTCAAATTTGGCCTCTGGAGGTAAAGAGCAGAGTGCAAAAGGGTGAAGGGTGGATCGGTAGGAGCGAAGGCGGGAATACCTAGCAGATGTGTGATCATCTGACGGTGTGAAAACTGCCTAAGCGTGTGGCCAAGGGCCTTAAGGGAAACTGGGAAACCAAGGCTTCTAGAAATAAAAAGCTGAGGTAGCAAGAGGCCAAGTAAGACAGGTGGGAAGGGGCAGGAAAGAGTAACAGGTGAGGATGAGGGCCAGAAATGGGGCAGAAATGAGACCATTTTATTGTTTGGTTAAATATTGAGCTGGAGTCTGAGCTAGGGAAGAGATTAATAGGACATATGTCTGATTTCAGTTGAAATGGAGCATTAAAAATTCTTTCACTATTGGCTCTTAGCCTGTATTTCTTTTTCATAGCTAAACTACATGCATTAAATAAATAATTATTTGGTGGCTGTAAGGTGCCAGGAACTGTTAGGCTCTGGGGATTTAGGAGGGAACAAAATTAAGCTCCTTGGCCAGGCACAGTAGCTAATGCCTGTAATCCCTACATTTTGGTACACCGAGGCAGGAGGATTGCTGGAGGCCAGGAGTTTTAGGTCAGCCTGGGCAACATAGACATCCTGTCTCAAAAAAAAAAAACAAAACAAAACAAAAACACCTAAAACCTAGGCACAGAGATATGTGCCTGTGGTTCTTGGGAAGTTGAGGCAGGAGGATTGCTTGAGCCCAAGAGTGGCTGAATTGACTACTTACACATATCCCCCTACCTAGTGCCTAATTTTGTATTTATCATTTTCTTGTTCTTAATATATGTGCGTGTATATGTGTGTGTGTATGTGTGTGTCTCTGTGTGTGTGTGTGTGTGTGTGTGTGTGTGTGTGTGTGTGTGTGTATACATTTAGAGACAATGTCTTGCTCTGTCGCCCAGGCTGGAGTGCAGTGGTATAATCATGGCTCTCTGCAGCCTCAGCCTTCCAGGCTCAGGCAATTCTCCCACCTCAGTCTCCTGAGTAGCTGAAACCACAGGCTTGCACCACCACACACAGCAAATTCTTGTTTGTCTTTAAATTTATTCATTTTTAATTTTATTTTTGTAAAGATAGTTCTCTCTGTGTTGCTCAGTCCTTGTCTCAGGTTCTACTTTTGGGGAACCCAAACTAATACAACAAATTTCCCAATAATGAGCATTGGGTCGTTGCAGGTTTCTGTTATTGCAAAAGTGCTACCAAGAACTTTCATGTAAAACCCACTGGTGCACAAGGGCGAGAATTTCTCTTTTGTATTTATATAGAAATAGAATTGCGGTGTCACAATTCTATTGTGAATGTTCAACTTTACAAGATAATTGCCAGTTGTTTACCAAAGTGGTTTTTGGATTTGTTTTGTTCTGGTTTGATTTTTTTAAAACCAATGTACAATTCTAATAACATTGTATATGAGAGTCTGTTGATCCACGTCCTCTCCAATGCATGATATTGTCAGATTTCTTCATTTTTGCCCCTCAAATAGACATCAAATGTAACTGTGGTTTTGACTTGTACCTCTCTGAAGATTAATGAAGTCGAACATGTCCTTATGTATTTATTGACCATAAATCTTTCATACTCTGAGAAATGTCTATTCACAGCTTTTGCCCATTTTCCTATTGGTTCATTGTCCTTTCTTCATTAATTTTACTGTTTTGGACAATTATGGGCTTTCTCTTTGAACTCAGGTGTTCAGAATTGAATTAATCATAATTTTCATGTAACGGGATTTTTCCTCCCTGGTTTCAAAAGTAATGCATGCAGCTGGGCTTGATGGCTCACTCCTGTAATCCCAGCACTGTGGGAGGCTGAGGCAGGTGGATCATGAGGTCAGGAGTTCAAATCCAGCCTGACCAACATGGTGAAACTCCGTTTCTACTAAAAATACAAAAATTAGCCAGGCATGGTGGCACACCTTTAATCCCAGCAACACAGGAGGCTGAGGCAGGAGAATCACTTGAACCAGGGAGGCAGAGGTTGCAGCGAGCCAAGATCATGCCACTGCACTCCAGCCTGGGTGACAGAGCAAGACTCTGTCTCAAAAAATAATAATAATAAAAGAGTAATGCACGCATTTTATAAAAGAAACAAGTAAAGAGTGTAGACATGTTGAACATAGAAAGAAAAGTCTTTTTTACTCTCAGCTCCACTCACCTCCAGGCAAGAATAACTCCCATGGACAATTTGTCATTCCATGTTTTTAGGTTTTTGTTTTCACATCTCTCTCCCTAATTAGACTGAGAGTTTCTCTAGGGTAAAGACTGTGTGTATTCATCTACGTATTCTCAGCCCTAGGCATAATGCCTGGTTGAGATCAGGAATTAAATACATTGTTGTTGAATTAACTGCTAAAAGATGAGTTAGAACATAGGCTTTGAAGTTAGAAGACTTTGGTTTGCCTGGGGCAGAGGACTGAAGCAGGAGAAAAATGGGAGTACTGGTAAAGTGTGCTGGGCTTTGATTACTAAAAGCCTTGGCTATTGGGCCAGAGTATTTGATTTTTATCTTGGAGGCAGTGGGGTGAGGGCATTCAAGATTTTTTGGGTAGAGGAAATTTATTTATTCATGTATATGAGTATATATGAATAATTTGTACATATGAATAAATAAATAAATATATTTTGTTTGTTTGTTTCAGACAGAGTCTCACTCTGTTGCCCAAGCTGGAGTGCAGTGGTATGATCTCGGCTCACTGAAACCTCTGCCTCCCAGGTTCAAGTGATCCTTTAACCTCAGCCTCCCTAGCAGCTGGGATTACAGGTACATGCCACTGCACCCGGCTAATTTTTGTATTTTTAGTAGACATGGGGTTTCGCTCTGTCGGTCAGGCTGGTCTTGAATTCCTGACCTCAGGTGATCTGCCTTCCTCAGCCTCCTAAAGTGCTAGGATTACAGGCGTGAGCCACTAGGTCGCCTGGCCTATTCTTATGTTTTTACCAGCAACAGGATTAAAACAAGACATTGACAATCTAGTCATCTACTGGCATTGTACAGGATGTAAGGGGGAGTAGAAGGGGGAAAATGAAACTGGAGACAGAAAAATGAATGAATCACGCAGCTGCGGCCGAACGCTCTGGCTCACACCTGTAGTCCTAGCACTCTGGGAAGCCGAGACAGGCAGATCACTTGAGGCCAGGAGTTCAAGACCAGCTTGAGCAACATGGCAAAACCGCATCTCTACAAAAATAATAATAATAATAACAACAACAACAACAACAAAATTAGCCAGGTGTGGTGGCACACAGCTGTAGTCCCAGCTACTTGCGAAAATTCTTTGAGCCCAGGAGATTGACAGAGCGAGACTCTGTCTCAAAAATGTTACTAACTTTTTATGGACACAGACACCTATGAAAAACTCATGAGAACTGTAGCTTCTTTCAGAAAAGTAGATGTAAACCTAAGCCTCTACACTTCTCGAGAATCTCTGGATTAGTCAGTCATTCTAAGAGTGAAAGAGTAAGAACCCACAGCATGTATTTATTCAGTCAGACATATTTATTGACACCCTATTGTGTATGTGCAAGGCACTGAGCTGAATGCTGGGAACAGATGCCATCCAGCATGAGGCATGCAGTGTGGTATGGCATAGCAGTCAAGGGCACAGACCTTGTGCCCAACTCTCTGGCTTCAAACCCCTGCCAGGTGACCTTGTTTAATAAAACACCTGTACTCCTTTGCTGTTTTATAGGGACAATACTGATACCATCCTCAAGGGCTGCAGTGAAGATTAAATGAATGCTTCATGAGATCTTGGGCTTGATGGCAGAAATGAGGGAGGAGAGAGAGGGCCGTGACTATCAGTGGAAGTGAAGGCAAGGAAGAATTTTAAAGGATGACAAGGGGGATATAGTAGAGCAGGAGAGGCTGCAGGTGCATCACTCATGATCTGTTCTCTCCCCTAAGGGGGACCAAATGGTGGGAAAGGAGAGATCTAGAGCAAATATGGAGAGGCTGGGTCAAATGGTGGAGGGGGGCATCTAGAGCAAAGGTGGAGAGGCTGGCTTTAGCTAGGAAGATACTTCCGCTTGTGAGCTGGAGGGGAGGAGTCAAGCATGGGTGCAGGTGCTGACTCTAAAGTAACCACAGGCAAGAGGGAAGGAATATCACCAAAGGGGGAGGGGTGACGAGAAAGGAAAAGTTGTGACACACAACTTTTCAAAGAGGAGATCCAGGAAGATGGAAGTGTCAGGGACTATTCCGGACTGGTGAGCTGATAAGGGATACTGATCTGCCTGGTTGGGTAACTTCTGGTGGTCAGGGGAGCGACAGGAGAAAAGCATTAAAAAAAAAAAAAAAAGAAAAAAGGCCGGGCGCGGTGGCTCAAGCCTGTAATCCCAGCACTTTGGGAGGCCCAGGTGGGCAGATCACGAGGTCAAGAAATCGAGACCATCCTGGCCAACATGGTGAAACCCTGTCTCTACTAAAAATACAAAAATTAGCTGGGCGTTGTGGCGTGCGCCTGTAGTCCCAGCTACTCGGGAGGCTGAGGCAGGAGAATTGCTTGAACTGGGGAGGCAGAGGTTGCAGTGAGCTGAGATTGTACCACTGCACTCCAGCTTGGCGCCTGGTGACAGAGTGAGACTGTGTCTAAAAAAAAAAAAAAAAAAAAAAAAAAAAGTGG